GGAAACTCATCGATTGAAGTCAAGGAGGAGAAGGGCAGGCCTGGCTGAGATGTGTGTAGAAAAAGAAAAACATCCAAAAGGACAAGATATTGGATAGGTTGCAGTAAGGACTTCTCTAACTGACCTAAGGGGATAAGGGCTACCATGGAAGATCCCATCGCCAAAAGTGATAGAACTTCGCATGCTGAATTGAACTGGAAACTCATCGATTGAAGTCAAGGAGGAGAAGGGCAGGCCTGGCTGAGATGTGTGTAGAAAAAGAAAAACATCCAAAAGGACAAGATATTGGATAGGTTGCAGTAAGGACTTCTCTAACTGACCTAAGGGGATAAGGGCTACCATGGAAGATCACATCGTCAAAAGTGATAGAACTTTGCATGCTGTAATTGAACTGGAAACTCATCAATTGAAGTCAAGGAGGAGAAGGGCGGGCCTGGCTGAGATGTGTGTAGAAAAAGAAAACATCCAAAAGGACAAGATATTGGATAGGTTGCAGTAAGGACTTCTCTAACTGACCTAAGGGGATAAGGGCTACCATGGAAGATCACATCGTCAAAAGTGATAGAACTTTGCATGCTGTAATTGAACTGGAAACTCATCAATTGAAGTCAAGGAGGAGAAGGGCGGGCCTGGCTGAGATGTGTGTAGAAAAAGAAAACATCCAAAAGGACAAGATATTGGATAGGTTGCAGTAAGGACTTCTCTAACTTGATTAACAGCCCATTATAGCAACCTCCAGGAGCAGCTGATAATGGTAACAGGGGGATTTCTGTTCATAACAAGCGAACAGCAGCCAATCAACAAAAGGAAGAGGAAAGTGCAACCCAAGAGCATATAAGTGATGAACAAATGTTCTGAATGCCCAACAAAACATACAGGGCCGAGGCAATTCTGAAGGGCATTGCTTGAAACAGAGAAACCACCTCGTGGAGAATAAACTGAAGAGAAAGTTGTGAGTGATGAAATATCAGGATATGCAAATAATCATTTGCAATATTCTTCTTCATCATTGATAAACCTGGAGAAAAAGCCCACCTAAGGGTGAGAAACAACTCTAAGGTAAAATGGGGCAGACTTAAGATTAGAATGAGGTGGGACAAACCTTGTACAGGAAACCAGTCTCTGGTTTGGCACAAGGAAAACAAACAGCTTGTAAGGGCCTGTATAGACAGAAAATCTTGTACTGCCTTGGACAAATGGAGGCTGGTGGCAGAATTCCAGTTCATGGGAAAGAAAAAGGGTACCAGGGACAAAGGAGGTGGGGAAAGAATTAGTACAACAAGTCCCTTTGATAAAAACCCAAAGAACCCATGGAACTGTAGTGAAATATTGCCAAGGGTAACAATATAATATATTCAAGTTGCCGCGGGACCAGAACCCTCTGGTTAATCTCTGGTACTGTTGGCAACATGTCCATCAATGCTGAATAAAACGACAAGATGAGAAACTTCTGGAAGGGGAACAGAGACAGGCAAATAAGGACCAGGACAAGAAAGCATGTCATGGCTCCAACTGAGACAAACGTGCAACCAAATAGAAAAGGATTGAGTGTTGATGCACAGATTACACATGAGATTCCAAAGTCTCAGATACATGATTAAAAACATATCAACAATGAAAATATACAGAAATCCCCAAAAGAAGGAGGAGGCAAATGTACTCAGAAGAAAGTCGCATCACAACCCAGAAAATCCCAACTACAGTGAAACCAAATGTGTAAAGCAAGAGCCAAAGGCAAGAAACAAGCCAACATGAAGGTAATAAGGAATCATATGAAAAACTGAGAATTAGATAAAACATAACTTACCTGAGAAATGTCAAAAATGCAGTCTTAGACCTAGGTGATTCTGCAAGAGGAGTAGGAAAAACACGGCAAAATCCAGTGGTGTAAAAAGGCTATCAAATCTTCATCGGCCCAAACAGGTTTGGCTTGATTAGGAGAAGGTTTACGTATAAAATGATCAACCTCACAATGGATAATATCATATAAATCCAATGATGGTTCCCCACCTGCCTCATGTGAAAACAGTGCTAAAGGTATAACTCCTCAGAATTCAATGTAGAAATACGCAAATCAAACAAAAGTGTTTGATGTAAAATATGCAAGTGTGACAAAAAAAATAGACTGGGAAATTAAGATAACTTAAAAGATTTCTTCAATGTAAATAAAAAACAATATTAAAAAGAAATTCCACTTTGGAAATTAAACTATTAAAATCACAATTCACACAAAGAGCACCAAAAGAAAAAACACAAGTACAGCCAAACCAGAAGAGATAGTTCGGTAGAATTGAATAGAGAGTCACAAGCATCAGGAGTGTGTGTCACACTCTTATTGGTGGAGGGTTGATGCATAGTTGCATGAAAGACACAATGGAATCAGTCAATTCCAATGAAGGAGAGATAGATGGCTTGTGGCATACGTAAAAAAAAAACTCATATAGAGGGCAGCAGTGAACGAGAATAGCTATCTATGTGAGTGGAGGTTATGTATTATATCAGAAATAATAAAATCACTTCTTAGGAACTTCCCTATGAAGAATAGTCTACACTTTTTTTATAGGTTGATCTTAATCCTTCAAATATAAGCTGTTACTCATCTTGTAGAAATAACTTTTTACAGAGATGAAAGTGTCCCTTTCCTAAAAATCCTGAAAATAATCGAAGCCAAGTAAGGGGGGGTCAGGCACCCAAAATCCTGCATTTTGATGCATTTTAGTACTTAAAATTCACTTAAACAAGTTACTCCATTTTTCTTACATCAATGATTATCAAATACATGTGAGAAATATCAAATCTGATTCCCCTAGTTAATGGATAATTTTCAAGAGTGCATTCTTTGGAAATCATAATTTTCATTATTGGATGTCAAAACTTATATAAAGTAATGCTTTTATAACTTACACTCAGTACTGCATATGTTTTTGGAATGTGTATGATTCAACTGAGA